TTCTGGGGTTGGGCAGGAGGGGCATCCAGGATCCAGGACTGCTGATGATTAAGGATAGATGATCTTTCCCATTTGTAAGAGGGGTATGTGACAAGAATAATATCCATCTGCCATCCTTCAAATATCTCTAGTTTAGAAGTATGAGCTTTAGAGGTTCAGAAGGAAAGCCACCTGATTTCTCTTAAGAGCAAGAGTGGCCCATAGCTTGCACTCAACAGTTTAGCCCCTTCCTACCAAACATTGGTTCAACAAAAGACAGAGTGAGGAAAACAGTTTTTGTTAAACAAAGAGATAGTGAGTAAACCCATTTATCCAAGCAAAACAACAAACAGAAATCTGAGAAGTTCTACAGATTAAAATACACCACTGAATACTGAAGCATAAAAGAGTAATTGAACTCTTTAGCTAGGGGTGAAATCTTCAGCTAAGATTTCAGCTCAAACCAGAGGAGTGAAAATAGTCTCACCCAGGAGAGGCTGCTATTAGCAGCTTCTAGTGTTGCAAGACAAGAAATATGGTAAGGCTGGCTTCATACATACACACACACACACACACACACACACATGCACATATGCACACATGCGCATGCATACAAGGCAATATACACATATGTATGTATATATGCATGTATGTATATATGCATGTTTATATATATGTATATATGTGAGACTTTAATGTCTCAGCCACCATATAAAAGTTCACAACTTGTCCCTCTGTATATTTGTGTGTGTGTGTGTGTTTGTGTGTGTGTGTGTGTGTGGGTGTGTGTTTGTCTTTTACCACTTCCCTCCCTCCCTGGGAGTCTGCAACCAAATGAAGTCCCTTTTGCAGAGGTTCAGTACCATGTTTTACATTCTTTCAGCAAATTAGGAGTCCTGAATCATAGAGCTATCTTTCAGGATATCATCCATGTAAATGTTACACTAGTAAGTTGAAATTTAATAAGAATAAATGTAATGTCTTACATTTGGTTTAAAAAACTTCATTTTAAAAGTACTGAATAGGGAAGACATGGCCAAGTTCAAATGAAAATAATCTAGTCTTTACTCAATGGTAAGGTCAACTTGTGAAAAAATTACAGTCTTTTTCTAGTAATTTGCTCAAATTAAGATTGTATTTTCCAAGGCTTACATATATATGCTAGAAATTTAAATTAAAAATACTAAAAAGTAGGGGAGAGTTGCATTGCAATGTTTACTTGAGTAGTTTCATACAGTTAACTGAAGATTTCATTAAAAATTAAATGATTAGCCTTCTACCCACTTTCTTGTTCTCCTTTCACCTTCTGAAACAGAACCCGATAGAAATCACCTGAAAGTGACTCTAACAGCTCTCATGGAATTTGGGCACAGAGTATAGGAACTGACTTAACAGCTCTGTGACTCCTTGCCCTGTCAGAATCTTCAGGCAGAATGCCAAGGGATTAGTGAAGACGTTCTTCTATTTATTTGGGAGATTAGAGCAACTGATGAAGGTGATTTCTATGATGGGGAAGGGGAAAATAGGGGGTAATAGAGACAAATTACTTTCTCATCTCATGGATTAATGATTATTTTGAATAGCCAAACATCTAATATCTCTATATCTTTATATGTATGGATATAGATATATAGATATATTTGCACATGCAGGATGGCATGGCATAGAAGTTTATTTGACTTAAAGTCAGGAAGAGCTGGACTCAAGTCTTGCCTCTGTGCCCAAGGCTCACTTAATTCAGGTGACTCTTTAAGACTGTGAGTCATAGAGCTGCTGATCTCTATCTCTTAGAAAAGAGGTGAGGAAGAGGAAAGAGAAGGAGAAACAGAAAGAGCCTAAACATGCACAACAGCATACTCTAGGGCAAGCCATACCCCTGGCCCTCAGAATTGAGTCTGTTTTCCACTGTCATTGTCTCATCTACCTGAAGGATGGGAGCAGAGAGCAATTATGCTGGTATACCTGGTACTGAGACTGTGCTCTATGCACTCCTGTGGGAGAGAGAGCAGAGGACAGCCTTTCTGAGGAAGGAAGAGGAAGAACACTAGAGAGAGGACTACTACTTTCAAATCCTTTCTCCTGGCTGATTCTGACACTCGATGATCCCACTCTCTTTACCTAATAGTTGCCAGAAATCTGATACCTGTCAGAACACTGGGTCTAGAATCCCCAATAATTCCCCTTGTTCTCATTCATCCCAAGTCCAGGTGTCCTGGGCCTCAGGGCTCAAAGAAGCCACCACTTACCCTTCCTCTAATTCTGCCACCAAAAGGACTTGTCAATCTCAAATTACAGTTTAATCTGGCAGTCAGAGTTTGATGCCACTGAGTACGTAATACAATCACTGTGCTGAGTTCTAAGGGAGAGGCATAGATAAATATATAGTATTGCCCCTTTTTCTTTTGGAACATATAATCTAGTAAGGGGAATAAAATAATATTTCCCATTTATAATATGTAAAGTGTTGTTCTCACAACTGGTAAGATGGTTAATGCAAGAATTTTTATCTCCATTTTACAGATGAGGGAACTGAGACTCAGAGAGGAAATATGACTTGTTCAAAGTCACCCAACTAGTAAGGGGTATGAATATGACTATACTCTTGACTTCTGATTCCAAAACTATAGCTCTTTCCAGTTTTCTACATTGCATCCACAAATACATTTACAAATAATAAGTATAGTATGATTTAAAGCATGTCAGGTACCTGAGAAACTTTCAAAACAATGAGAAAACTAAAGTCAAAAGAGTTCCTTTCCATGGGGAAGGGAGACATTCATAGAGAAAATATTGATAAAGAAGATAGCATTTGAATGGACCTTCAAGGATAGATGGAATTTGAACCAGAGAAGTTAATCTAGACATAGGAAACAGAGTGAGCAAAGGTACCAAGATGGAAAAGCATAGGATATATGTGGGGGACAAGTATTAAAGTCTAGCTTGAGCACAGAGTAAGTGAGGGGGTTATAAGGTTGGATAGACAGGTTTGGTTAGGTTCCAGGCTAAGGCATTGAGCCCTTATATAGTAGGCAGAGGAAGCCATTGAATGTTTTTGAGCAGTAGAATGACATAATCAGTGCTTCTCATTAGGAGGAGTAATATAAGTGTTACATAGAATAAATCATAAAAGGTGGAGACTGAAAATTTTTTGCTGCCCATTTTCTCATTACCTTTTTTAAAAATTTCAATTTATAATCATTTTGCTATTGAAAATTTTTTTTACATCACAAGTAATTAAACTAAGGGTAAGATTGTAGAAGGGCCAGACTGTTTGTAAATTTTTCATGTTCAAAATAACCACAGTAGCATGCTTTCTGTGTGGATTGGTTCTTGAGGCTTTGGGCTATATATCAAGGTAAACAGAGATGGGAATTATGAGAGCTCCAGACTCCAATGAGATTGCCAACCTCTTTAAAAGAAGTATTTGAAGACTGACTTTTGTCTTTGGCAAATGCTTTTCATGAAGTGGTTTATGACAGAAACCTGAGGTACTGACATGCTAAATTCTAACTGCTCGTCTCAATATGGAGTCTCTATGGGTTGGATAATCAGGAAACTTAAAAGTAAAAACAAAAACAATGTCTCCTTTTATGCATAAACAAGTCATGATAGTGGTGAGAATCTATAGAAGGAAATATTCCAGTCCTCTTTTCCTTGATTACCTTTTTCCTAGTCCGTCTGACAGGAACCAAATATGGCTGTGGAGGAGGAGGCTGTGGGGCTTGCACAGTGATGATATCAAGATACGACTCTAGTAACAAGAAGATCTGGTATGCAGTCCTGAGAAAATGTTAATTATGTAGGATCATAGGTTTAGAACTGAAAGGCTATCATCTAATGCAAATGCACTTAAAAGAAATTGAGACCCAGGGGGATTAAGTAATCTTGGTCAGATGTGTAGTTAATGAATGCAATTCTGACTCCAGAGGCAGTTAAGAAGACCTTGGTTCAAATTCTGCCTCTGACACATATTGGTTGTGTGACCCTAGACAAGTCATTTCACTTTTCAGTACTCCTGGTGATGCTAAAATTATAAATTGCAGAGAGGGTATCCATTTGCATTGCTAGAAGGTATTTCCTCAGCACGAGTTCTCTATATCAAGGAATCGCAGAAGTAGATATACATTTATGTATGTGTATATATATACAAAATTATTTCTTCCATATCACAACTTTCTTCATAGCGATTTCAATGTATCACAGGTTGGCATAAGAAATTAAATTAGAATTTTTGGGGAGTTTTGCAGAAGCCACAGATGACATGTGAAGGCCAGCAGATGCCACAGAGCCTATGACCAAATACTTAACCCAAATTTTAAAATAAGGTACTATAAACAATCCATAAAAGAAAAAGAAAAAATTCAGACTTCTTCTCTGGTATGAAGGGAGAACCAAAAAATTTTATGTGGATTTTTCAGGTCATGGAGGCACTGAACTCTAACCCCCATGTTGTGGAAGGGATAACTGTACATGTACACATGTGTGTACATATATAATATGTGTATGAATATATATGTACACATGCATACATGTTATTTTCATAGCATTCAATTCTCAAATTCTCATGGCATACATCTTACCTATCTTACAGAAAGCCCAAGTCTCTCTATTCTAATTTAAAATAAAACCTGTCACTTAGATTTCCAGATTACAAAAGAAAGACAGACAGATAGAACACAGGGAATAAAACATCCTGATTCAAGCAAGAAAAAAAAAGCTCTTCGTTTGAACTTGGTTCATCAGAAATCTTCCATTTGGAGTAACGTTTGGCAATCCATGTTAAGTGACTGTCTTTGTAGACAGGGTAGAAATGAGATCTGAAAATCCTGGGGCTGTTGTTGCCAATAGCTCCTTTGAATAGTGAGCAAAATTCAGGACAGAAATTGGCTTGCATAATTCTTTTGCTCAGAAAAATAGTAACTGATATCCATATATACCTAGAGGTAATGAGTATTTATGGGAAGAAGATAATTGCTCTCTGTTACTGGCTAGAGAACTCTTGAGGTTATTATCATTTGAATTCCTCCCTAATATCTCTGGATCCTTATGTGTTGAAGATAACATATTTGCAAGAATAGTTTTGTAATCTGAATGCCAACACTCATAAATTCTAAACTGATGAACAGAAAACAAGAAAAGAGGACCATTTAAACTTCTGAAATATATAGCAAGATAGGTGAAAAAAATTAGACTATTAGAATATCATCTGCTGGGTTTATTCTAAAATGCAAATAATAATAGTTAACAGTTATATATTTACTTATGCTTTGCAAAAATGCTCTTCATATACTACCTCATTTGATCCTCACAAAAACTCTCTGAGGTAGATGCTATCTATTATTATCCCCATTTTACAGATGAGGAAACTGAGCCTGAAAGATAGTCATTTGTCAAAATCACTCAGGAAGTATCTTGGCAGGATATGAACTCAGGTCTTCTTGATTTCAAATATAATTCTCTATCCACCATGCCAATTAGCTGCAGGATCAATCTTTTGTCCAAGGGGAACTTTGGTATGCATTTATTTGTTCTAGATGACCCTTGAGGTGCTTTCTAGGTCTACTCCTTTGATTTTGAACACTACTTCTATTTTAATTATGTCCTAGCTAAGATCCCTCTACTCCCATAATAGATATCACTATTCTCATTGTTTTAATACTTCCTTTCTTTATTATGTAAAATCTGAAGGCATTACTCTGTCACATCCTGCTTGGTTCCTATATGCTCTCTCTATGGGGCTGCAGTCACCACTGTGGAAGGTATTGGAAGCACCAAAACCAGGATTCACCCTGTTCAGGTACGAATACATCGTAACACATTCATAACATAATCTTGCATTTGTGAGTCTGAACGTAAAATAAATTGAGCATTGCAATGAGTTGCTGTGATGTTGATGTAGGGTTTCAGGGGTGGAGAAGGGATGTGTGTAGCTCTTTTGAAAGAGGTTCCCAATCAGATAGGTCTTATGAGGTGCTTTGGAAAGATGCTGGATTTGGAGCCAGAGGGCCTGGATTCTAATCCTGTCTCTGGCACTTACTACCTGAGTGACCTTAAGCAGGTTACTGGACCTCTATTTTCTTCTTGCATAATGAGGGGCCAGAACTAGATGACCTAGAAGGTCCATTTCATCTCTAAATCTATAGTCACATGTTTAAAATTCTGACATTTCTTCCCAAAGAAAAGTCATTTAATCAAGTGATTTTCATTAAGGTACTGGCTATAAGTTGAAGGAAAAAATGAGATTATTCTAAATATTTACTGAAAATGTTGGATGATGTTTTAAAATGTATTCAAAGTTCATTCATTCAACATTTGTTAAAATGGAAAAAGAAGCAAAGAACAGTTTTACAGTAAATCTCAGGGACAAATGGATTAGTGATTATGGCTATGTCCTTTGTTGTGTCAAAACCATAAGGGTGAGGTGACCAGGACACTGAAATTCAGAGGGTGTTGACAGCACTTACATAGTTTTTTAGCTAGTAGGAAAACTTAAATTTAGCCCCTTGTAGACAAGAAAAATTAAAAGAAGAAGTTATCAGTGGGAATTTCTTCTCCCCCTTCTCCATTTTGATGGCTGAAACCCAAATGAGCTTCTCTCCTGCTCTCTCCACTCTGGGTTAGGTTCTCCAGCAGTGGTTTCATTGTGTCCTAAGCTTTCTAATCATAGGTGTTAGTATTCCAGTCTTTTCCACAAAAGGGCCTGGTGTCCTAAGATCAGAGGTCTTCTCCTTTTGCCCCAGGCATCATAATCACTAGTTATTACTCTGGCTGTCCCAACGGTCAATGTTCCAGCCTGGTAACTTAATGGACAAGAAAGGGATGGTGGCTCAACAGACTTCTGAATGGAAGGCAGCTTGACATGAGGGAGAAGGACAAAGCTTACTTGTTCAGTAATTCAGTTGTGTCTGACTCTTAATGATCTGGCCAACCACTGTCCATGGGGTTATTGAATACTTGAAGCAGCTACACATGCATATAAACACTTCAATTCACCAGAATTTTAAAGTACCTACTTGCTTTGAGATATATACTTTTCCAGGTGGGGTGGGAATAGTGGTAGTGGTAGAATATAAAGATAAGCAAGACATAATCTCTTACTTTAAAGGACTTGCAGTCTAATGTTATGTATGGGGGAGGTGCTGGGGTTGGGAATTGAGGGTGGTGGTAGTGAATAAAAAATGTACAGGTAAGTATACTACAAATCAGATCATGAAATGACAAAGTGCTAATGTAGTTCACAGGAAGGAAGAATCAACCAGCCTATAAATTCCCACTTTAATTCCAGTACTTCCCCTCTTTTAATCATTTCCCATTTATCCTGTATATAGCTTGTTTTGTATATATTTGTTCTCATGTTCTCTCCCCCATTAGATTGTAAGCTCCGTGAGGCCAGAGGCTATATTTTGCCTCTTTTTGTATCTCCAGCACTTAGCACAGTACCTGACACATAGCAGGTTTTTAATAAATGTTTATTGATGATTAATTTTGGTTAAAGCGTGTAAAAGGGGGGAATGATTGCCTCTCCTTCTTCCACACCCCAAGGCTGTACTTCGCATTTTTTAAGAATTTTCCTTTTCATCTTCATTTTAGCCAATGTGATTTTCCTAACATCTTTCATTCCCCACCCCCCCTTCACCTTCATGATCCTGTACATATCTAAATAATGATGGGAAGACTCAGCAATAAGTTGGCCCCATAAGTAATGAAAATAGAGAATTTAAGATAAACTCTGAGTAGTTTGGTTAGTTGTTTTTCAGTTGTTTCAGATTCTTCTTGACCCCATTTGGGTTTTTGTGGCAAAGTTTCTAGAATGGTTTGCCATTTCCTTCTCCAGCTTATTTTACAGATGAGGAAACTGAGGCAAACAGGGTTAATTGACTTGCCAACAGTCACACAGCTAGTGTTTGAGACCAGATTTGAAATTAGGAAAATAGGTCTTCCTGACTCCAGGTCTGGCACTCTATCCACTGCCCCAGTTTGGCTAGTACAGGTAGCCAAATGAGATAATTCTGATGAGGGAGATCTATTTTGATATCTGTTCAATCTGACTCGGCATTTATTTGTTGCTAGGGTCATGTCCACATGTGTATATTGTACAGCTCCAACCAGATTACTTGCTCCTTTAGGGCATGGATTCCTCATTGAAAAACAACTAATATGGATCTTAACAAACATTGTTCATGGAATGAATGATTGGTTTTCCTAGCCTGCATGCCAACCTTCAAGTAGGATGACAAATAAGCCATTCTAAGCTTTTCTCTTGTATATTCTAGTCTGAGGCATGTCTTTCATTCATTCATTCAATCATTTGAATAATCATTTTTATTAAGCACATATTATGTATGTGTGCTAGCTTCAGAAATGAAATACAAGGATAGACATGAGGAATGCCCTCATGGAATTTATATTCTTCTTCTAGCTAGGATTTCATATATGAAAATGATTGAAAGTGAAGAAAACACAATATATCCCAAAGGACAGTGATCCTTCTAAAATGAGCAGGGCTTAAACATTGGAGTTGGAAATGATTTTCATGGACAGATCTCTTTCAAGGGCCTCCAAGTCACCCTCCCAGACCTACATGGAAGCAGGGTGGGGGATAAACCAATATGATGATCTTAAGCTACTACTATCTTATCTCCCCCAAATCTCCCTTGATTTGAAATGAAATTACTGTCATGGTCTCCTTGGAGAAATAACTTTCTGGAATTGAATATCATACCCTTTCTCTGTGTAACATAGCATACCCTTGTGCATACCTTTACTTGTATAAGTAAAGAGCATATATTGGATACTATAAACTGAAGGTTTATGGAAGGATTGACTGTTTTCTTGGCTTCCAGGAAAGGATCGCTAAAGGCCATGGCACACAATGTGGGTTCTGTACTCCAGGGATGGTGATGTCCATATATACTCTCCTGAGGAATCACTTGCAGCCATCCACTGAGCAGCTGATTGAAACCTTGGGGGGTAAGTTTTCTTCTTGCCTTTTGAATGGTAGGATATGAAAGCAAAATATGTTTCCTTTTAAAAAAATCATAGGTGTCTTTTGTTTTTATATTTTCTATATATATCCCTCCCATTTCTACATATGTATTTTATTAATTCTTTTTTAACCAAGAATCAGTTATTCTTAATTATTGTCATTAAAATAAATTTTATTCAATGAATTCACTGTATTTTGTAAAAAATAATTTATGTTTAGCCTTTAATTAACTCTCAATTGGAGTTTTTAAAGTCAGTGTTGATAAAGTAATATTTAATTCAATGTACTGAATTTTTTGAGGCAGTCTAGTCCTAAGATTTAGTTGGTATAGGGAGTTTCCTTCCATGTTGATCAGTAACTCATTTGTCACATGACATTTTAGAGTTTCCTCTGAGTTCTGTATTCCTTTGACATGTGTCAGGGATAGTATTTGAACCCTAATCTCCCAGACTTCTAGGCAATTCTTTATCTCCAGAGGTGTCAACCTTGCAGACTGCCTGACCAGAACTCCTCACTGCGAACCAAACATGATCAAAATATATTGGAAAATGTTTAACAAAATAAACAGAAATATAGTATAACATCTATATTATAAACTTGTGATTTTCTAAGTCAATATATGGTCTACAGGGATTGTTTCTCTTTGAGTTTGACACCACTGCATATACCATGTTGACTTTCAATGTACTAAACAAAATAGAAAATTTATATTGGATATAAAATTAGAGGTACAGGGTCAGTTAGTCAATCAACAATTACTATGTGCCAGTCTTTGCTGCATTCTCAGTATTCATAATCTCTATGATCTCTAGACTACCCTCTGGTAATAATATTAATAATAGCCATCACTTTAAGGTTTACAAAGCACTATACATACATACAAACACATACACATATATATGTATTTGTGTGTGTGTGTGTGTGCATACATTGTCATCTTCAACTTTTGGAAGGGGTAACATTGCTAGAAAATGGCATGAATTTTATAGAAGTATGCAGTAAAAAACAAACAAACAAATAAACAAAAAAAAAAAACCCAGCAAAGGTATGAAATAAATCTCTGGTGGTGCCTAGTCTGTTCCCACTGGTACCAGAGAGTCCAATGGCCTGGTTCCATGTCTAATACCACTTCTGGCACCAATTAATGTCCACTGGACTGAACCAGCCTCTGACCTGTGACCTGAGCAGAACAGAGCAAGCTAGAGACAGGACAGTCAGATGTCAAACAGAAATTTAATTTTGCTCAGAGAATACCTGGTGCTGGTCAAAGCAATACAATAATTACATGAAACAATTCTGGGCCTGCTTATCAATTAAGGACTTCAGTTGACCTTGTAAACTTTCTGTGTGCTGAGTAACCTCACTAAATAGGCTTGTGGCAATCCCATTTACAGCTGTCCTGCTGGCTGATTGTCCAGCCACTCCTGGAATATTTCCATTGACAGGGTTACTCAGCTTTCTTACAAGATGGCTAGTTCCATTTTGGGCAGTTTCATTTTCTTTTTCTTTTTTTTAAGTTGACTCTTTTTTTTTTGGTGAGGCAGTTGGGGTTAAGTGACTTGCCCAAGGTCACACAGCTAATACATGTAAAATGTTTGGTCTGAGGTGGAATTTGAACTCAGGTCCTCCTGACTTCAGGGCCGGTGCTTTATCCACTGCGCCACCTAGATGCCCTGCAGTTTCATTTTCTAAGAAGCTCTTCCTGATATTGAAAAATATCTATCTCACTAAAACTTTGCTTTACTGATTTTTATTCTACTCTCTGGAACAAGGAAATAAAAGTAGAATCCATCCAAATGACAATGACAATATTTGAAGATTGTTATTTTTGTCCGCTTTAAATCTTTTCTTTTCTAGGCTACACATGTATTATTCCTCCAACTCTTTCTCATAGATATGGTTTCCATCACCATCTTGTTCATCTTTTTTTAGATTCATTTTTGTTTGTAAAGATCATTCTTAAATAGGGCTTCTAGAAGTGAAAATAATACTTCAAATATGCATTGACCAAGGCAGCAGTATATTGTGGGACTATATATTACCTATTTTGATCTAGATAGCATACTTTTAGTCTAAGATCACCTTAATTTTTTGGCAGCCAAATACTACTACTTGACTCATACTTGCAGTCAACTAAAATCTAGCAGTATTTATCATCTGAGCTGCAAAGAAGCTGGTAGCCCTTATCCTGTACTTGTTTAATTAATTTTTTGAACTTTAGCACAGAACTTTACTTTTATCCTTACTTAATTTTTTCTTGTTATTTTCAGCCTGTTGTTCTGACCTATCAAGATAATTTTGATTCTTATTCTGGTATCCAGTGTATTATCTGTGCCTCTTTGTTTTATGTTATCTGAAGATTTGATAAGCATGCCTTCGAAGTATCTATCCAAGTTGCTGAAAAGAGAAATAATGAACTAATGTATGCAAAGCATTTGTAAACATGAAAGAGGAAGGAAGGAAAGGAAGAAAACAAGCATTTATTAATCACTCACTGTGTTTGTGCTATTCTTTGGGGAATGCAAATTTAAGCAAAAAGCAAGACTGTCCTTGTCCTCAGGGAGTTTACATTTCAATGGGGCAGGATAACATAAAAGAGAGCTAAAAATTGGGGAATGAGGAGGGAAGACACTTGACACAGGACATGATTTGAAGTCCAGAAGCCAAGAACAGGGCTAAAAGAAGAGTGAAAGCTGGAATGGGCCCCTCCAAAAAATGAAGACTCCATAAGGAAACTCACCAATTGGAGAAAAGAGTGGGCTTTACAGAGGGATGATCCGATGGTTCATTGAAATCCGTCCATGTCTTCCCATCCTGGATGTTGTTGCTTACAGGGAACAACATGGTGGTGCTCCTCCTCTAGAGATCTTGGTGTTATGGAGGCATCAGTTCAACACACAGACAGTCCATTTTTTTATTCCTTGCTCTCTTTTTTAAAAAATTAATTTATTTTAATTTATCAGCAATTACTTCCATAAGCTTTTGAGTTTTACATTTTTCTCCCCCTCCCTCCCTTTCTCTCTCCCCAAAATGGCATGCAATCTGATATAGGCTATACATATACATTCCTATTAAATGTATTTTCACATTAGTGATGTTGTAAGGAAGAATTAGAACCAATAGGAGGAACCATAAGAAAGAGAAAACACAGCAAAGTAGAAGAAAAAAATAGCAAATAGTATACTTTGATCTGCATTCAAACTCCATAGTTCTGTCTTTGGATGTGGATAGTATTTTTCATCATGAGGCCTTTGGAGATGTCTTAGATCTTTGCAACGCTGAGAAGGGCTAAGTCTATCAACATTAGTCATCACACAATGTGGCTGTTACTGTGTACAATGTTCTCCTGGTTCTGCTCAATTCACTAAGCATCAGTCCATACAAGTCTTTCCAGGTTTTTCTGAGGTCCACCTGCTCATCATTTCTTATAGCACAATAGTATTCCATTACACTCATATACCATTATTCCTTGCTTTTGCTGCATGACTGGCCTACTTCCTTTTTCAATCATATTTCTTTGATAAAATCTTTAAGCTGCTTCCTGCAACCATATCTTTATCTGTAATATGCTATGGCCACATGTGCCAACCATATATCTTGGTTTCTTGGAGACTGGATCTCTATCATGGGATTTGTAGCCATAGAGCATCAATGGAAGAACACTAGTATTCAAAAGGTAGAACGTCATTGAAAGAAGAAAATGGAAGGTGCTGTGAGATCTTTGCAATTTGCCAAAAGCAATTCAACCTACTACTAGGGTGAGATAGAATAGAGTGCTGCATATGTGTTAGCTATTACTGTCGTTGACAAATGTAAGGCAAGAAAGGATCAAGAACAAAACTGTAACACAGCACTAGAGACCTAACACATTGACATTAGACCGTCAATCAGCATTCTTTTAGTTATTTGGCCGGTTAGAATCTACTGACTCTATTATTTCTCCACATTCTTTCTCCACAAGGCTATCATGTTTTACTGAAATCAGGATACACTCTATTCATTCCTTTCCCATGGTCTGTCAGTAGAATAACCATATCTGATGCTGGGCGAGTCATTTAACTTTTGCTGGACATTAGTTTCCTCATCTATAAAATGAGGGGATTGGCCTGGATGATCTTTGAGATTCTTTCCAGCTTGTATCTCTGATATTAGGATTTTATAAGTCTTGGAAGATCTGAGTCTAAATTCTGGCTCTTTCACTTACTTGCTGTATCATCTTGGGTCAGAACCTCTCTTTGAGCCACATACTCCTCATCTATAACATGGGGATAATAGTATCTGCTTGATCTACTACATAGTATAGATAAGATTCAATGAACTGTGAGGATTAAATGAGAGGGTGAATATGAAAGTGTTTTGTAAACTATAAGATATTATATATACGTAGGATATATATATATATATTATATAAAGTAATACAGGCATAAAAACCACAGGATCTTAGATTTGGAAGTGAATGTGAGAGGTCAGCTAGTCCAACTCTCCATCTTCAACACAGGGAAATTTAGTGTCATGATCCTCCTTTATCAATAAAAACGGGTATCATTCCTAGTCTGGTAATTCAGTACAGTTCTGTCCCCAGAAGAGAGGGCTAGAAGTAAAGGGTGGAAGTTAGAGAGAGGTAGATTTAGGCTTACATGAGGAAAAAAACCCCTAATTTCTAGAGATGGCCAAAACTGCAATAGGCTGTTTGAGAAGGCAATGGGGTCCCCTTCCCTCGAGGTCTTCTAGTAGAGGTCAGATGACGACTTGTAAGGAATGTTGTAGAAGAGATTTCTACTTAATTATAACTAAATAATGTGCAACAAAGCTGGTTCTGTAGTACTTAGGTTCTTCTCCCAGCTCTGCTACTTACCCTGTGTGAACTTGGGCAAATCATTTGAGTTACCTTGGCCTTGTTGTTATTGTTCAGTCATTTAGTTGTGTCTGACTCTATGTGACCCCATGGACTTTGTCCATGGGGTTTTCTTGGCAAAGATACTGGAGTGGTTTGCCATTTTCTTCTCCAGTGCATCCCAATTTTACAGATGAAGAATTGAGGCAAATAGGGATTAAGTGACTCGCGCAGGGTCACACAGTTCATAAGTGTCTGAAGCTGGATTTGAACTGAGATCTTCTTGACTCCAGGCCTAGTGTTCTATCCACATCACCACCTAGCTTTACCCCTCCTTGGGCCTTAATTTTCTCATTTGTAAGACAAAGGAAGGGTGCTAGATTAGCTGACCTCTCAGGTCCCTTCTACTGCTAGATGTACAATCTTAGGATCCTGTGACCTCCGAGATTCCCTTTAACTCCTACGGTTCTGTGATTCAGTGAAAAATAATAACTGTTGATCTGCATGTGAGTTTTGTAAGCACTTGACGTCTCTTTATGGCAAAGTGCAACAGGGCCTGTAACAACACTAGGGTAAGTTGGGGACAATGGCCTACGGTTAGAGTCATAAAGCTTATCCCCTTACCAGGTTATTTACAAAGTAGCCAGGCAGACCCCATGAAATAATTGGAGGAATAGGCCATTTGGAATCTTAGGCTTGTTTTTGCACTTTCTTAATGGCAACACGTCATGAAGGACTTGCCTCCCAAAGAACTTTCTGACAGCATGTTATAAGTCAGTATGTGCAAAACACAGTACCAGGCACTTTGGGAATTTATAAATGAAGTAATCTATATGGTTTCTTTCTGTCTTAAGGAGCTTATGACCTAATGGAATGTATTACAGAAGGTTGCTATTCATTTTATTCTCCGTACTTAGAGGGTAATCTCATAAGTGGAATAGTATTACAGATTTAAAACCAGAAAGGACCTTAGAAATCATTTTGCAAAGGAGGAAACTGAGGTCTAGAGAAGTGGAGTGATTTCCCCAAGTCACATAAATCCTCTAATTCCAAATCCCATGATCTTTCTACCATAACATGCTCTGAATTTGTTTTTTAGTTATATTGTTATGAACGATCTTGATGCATGTTCTGAAACTTATTCATATTGATTTCTTTCCTGTATCCTAATGAATAAGGTAAATAGAATGTACCTAAGTAACTAATGGATAGGGATAGTAAACCAATCATTTATAATAGATGCGATGAGTAGTTATTTGAAAACCTGGTACAAAGTTTTCCCCAAATGGTATGCAAGTTACTGAATATCATTGTTAAAGAAAAGAAAACCCAAGGTGGGATTTTTCTCAACACATTAATAAAAACACACACTTTCTACTTAGTAACTTCTTTTGGTCAAAAGAACATCATTTGGAAACATTTCTTAAAGTAAAGGAAAACAAGGCCACAACATGATATAGCAAAAAGAGAACTGGGCTGGGTGTTATAGCAAAAAGAGAACTTGGCTGGGAGTCAAGACATCTAGGTTCTAGCCTCAACTCTAGAGCACTGTATCCTGCTTAATAAGTACTTATTGGATTATATTTACAACATTACCTTGGGAGAGTCACTTAACATTTTTGGGTCTCAGTTTCCTCATTTGTAAAATTCAAGAATTATATTATAGGATCCTTTCCAATTCTATTAGCCTATGGTCCTATAATACCTGATCTGAATCAGGAAAAGGGAAGGGGTGAATGAAAAAAAGATGTAAAAAGCTACCCCCCCCAATTTCTACATCCTTTTGTCATTGGCTTTGTGAACTGTCTATCGATACCAGGTAAAACAGTGACCATAGAACAATCAATTAAGGCCATCACTAGAAATGGGCATGAATGGTTCACAGTCTGTATCACTGGAGGGATTTCATATCAATGATGACAGAGACCCATCTACCTATAGAACTAAGACTATTTTTTATCTGACCTACTACTGACTGACAGCTCAGACAACCAGTAATATTAATGGAAGGAAGATCTCTCCCTAATCTCACCCCTCCCCTTGTATTTTTATGTGTCCAATAGTTATCATTTGGGGTCCTTGCATATGACCTTAAAATACAAACCACATTTCTTGGCAATCACTTAAAGGATTAATATAGGCATTTTTATGAGATCTTGAACTATTATTCTTATTAGTTGTGTTTTAATAATGTAATATTCACTTCCAGGGTGCTATAAATATTATTTCAGTTAGCCTTGCTTATTTTAGTGACCAACATATGTAGACATTTGTACTCTCCAATTGTTTCCTTAAAAATAATAGACATTCTATCATTTAGTCTTCAAATAATTCCAATGATGATTTTAATAAAAGTGTTTTATATTCAAAATATAAAGATTCTTCTCCTTCTTCCTTCAGTGTCTCTGCTCCTCCTCATCCTTCCACTCCCACCTCTAATGCCTTTCTTCCACCAACCCTAAGTCATTTCAGAAAAAATTGATTCTTGGGCATTGCTGTGGTCTCTATAGCCTGTCCAGCAAGCCTGGTTTTACAACAAACAAATACTACAATGCAGAAGTACAAAGTATTAGTTATAATGATATGTATTTCTTCTTCAACAAGGTAACCTGTGTCGCTGTACTGGATATAGGCCAATCGTAGAAAGTGGGAAAAGTTTCAGCGCTGTAAGTATGGAAAAACTATAAAAACAGATTCAGCATTTCTCAAATTCAATAATATAATATCATACGCATTAAATAGAAAACTTATTTCCAGTGGAAAACACAATTTTGGAAGGGTCCTGTGGCTCTCCTGATCTTCCCATCACTGGTAAAGGTATTCTCCCCCCTCAGAAATGCAAAGAAATGGATCATCTATGGTTTGGTTTATTTGAAGTGAATGTTAAGTAGCAGTACTGATTAAAAAATGGATGAGGCTCCATTCTTTATAATGAGGTTTGTTGTTAGGAAAAGCTGAGGAAGCCATCTTGTCATACTGTCATCTGAGTAGGACATACTGTTGGGTCACAGAAATTTCCTTTGAATTGGACATTTAAGTTGCTCACTACCTGTGATTATGATTGCGACTCTACTCAACACTAATGGAATCTATCTATGGGAAACAGAAGAAAGGCCATTTGAATGGCTCTTATCTCCTGGGGTAACTGACCTTGACAACTGGTCTACTCCATTCTCATTGGTAACCTTATTCTTCAGGCCCCTTAGCAATCACTTTTCCATTTTCCTCACACAGTGCGTGAACTTCTAAGCACAGCACAATGAAAAGCACTTGTAAAGTCTGCTTTCATTAAAATTTCATTAAAATAAGGAGAGTAGACAGTATAAAATACCGGAGTATATACCTGCCAAAACAGGTACAGGAATCATATGAACATAAATATAAATACTTTTCATACAAATAAACTCATATCTAAATAATTGAAGTAAAAGTACTGTTCATGGATGGGTAAAGCCAATATAATTTTAAAAATGACAATTTTACTTAACTAATTTACTCAATGTCATCACAATTAAATTACTAAAAAAAAGTCAGTGAACTAGAAAAAAAATAACAATGAAGTTCATTTATAAGAACAAAAGGTCAGGAACTTCAAAGAAACCAGGAAAAATGATATAAAAGAAGTAGATTTAGAAGTATCAGACCTTAAACTACATTATAAGGGAGAGTATTGTTAAAATGTAAAAAAGATAATTTCAATTATTTTAAATGAAAAATTTCTTGTATGAATAAAACCTATGTAGCCAAGAATAGAAGGAATGCAGAAAATTGGGGAAAAAAACTTTCACAGAGAATATCTCAGATAGGATGTGATTGGGTTGGAACACTATTATGATGTAGGAAATGATGAACTTGTTGATTTAGAAAAACGAGGAAAGACTTGAACCTGTGAAGGAAGATGCTACCCACCTTCAGAGAAAGAGATGGCAGGTGAAAATAAGCAGAGTACAGTCTTACATATATGTGTGTGAGTGTATGTGTATATATCTGTGTATGTTTATAGATATCTATATATATGTCTATATATCCATGCTTAATTGTAGCCTTCTTTAGGGTAGGGTGGGAGAGAGGGGAAAAAATAAAATAAAAAATGCACAGCAGAGAAGAAAAGAAAACCAACAAGGAAGCAAAGAAAAGCCAGGCAGCTTTGAAAACAACATGTAGAATTTATTATATAGGTTTTCTTGAAATGGAAATTTATTGTTTTATATTGAATCCTCTCCTATAGTCTGTTGTGTACATGGAAATGTTTTTTCCCCTCATTGTGTATTTAAGTTTAAGATAAAAAATTACAAAAAAAAATAAGGGGAGGAGGGAATTTATGCTTTTGCAATCCATTCTTGTAGCATCATCTCTCATTCTTCTAGTTGACCAACTTGCCTTCTTTCTTTAAGGTGGCACACCTACTGAGTGCAGGGTAGAGCTGTCACTCCAAATTTCCAACCCCTAATCCAGGGCTCTGTCCACTTGGACCACATATCCACTCCAGCTTCTATGAGTTACATTAGTAGTTCTCAGGTTTTAAAAAAAAAGCCAAGAAACTCATAAATCTAGAACTGGAAGGGGCCTTAGGACAGAGGTCAAAAGTGTTGAGTAGGGATGGAGAGGACTCATCTATTTCTGTGGATGAAGGGGTTATTGATACATAAGCGGGAGTGTTTTTTTGGTTGCGAGATTCTCTAGTATTGTTCAAATCCTGCTATATAGATAGCTACCTACTCTATTTACATGGTCTTGGCTATATGTGGGGTACTGAATTAAGGGATTGGTAGTGGTCAGCTGGGCAGTTAGGTGGCAGAGTGGTTAGAGTGCCAGGCCTGAAGTCAGAAAGAACTCTTCCTGAGTTCAAATCTGGCCTTAGGCACTTACTAGCTGTGTGACCTTGGGCAAGACGTTTAACTCTTTTTGCCTCAGTTTCCTCATCTGTAAAATGAACTGGAGAAGGAAATAGTAAACCACTCCAGTATCTTTGCCAAGAAAAACCCAAATGGGGTTATGGAGAGTAAGACATGAATGAAAAATGACCAGACTGGAACAACAAACAAGTGGTTAACTTCTAGCTCTAGAATTCTGTGATTTTTAAATAATCTGTTACTTCTTTAGGAGTCATCTTGCTGTCAAATGAAAGGAACAGGGGAATGTTGCTTGGATCAAGAAGAACATGAATCTGAGAATAAAAGTGATGTAAGTAACTACCCCCACACTCCACCACCATTTCCCCCACTCCTTTTAGTTTTAAATAATTTGCAGTATATGGATGGTACTTCTCTCTTACCATAAATTGGACTAAAACACCTGGGCTTGGAATAGGATGAAAGAAGAGAGGAGAAGATAAAAACTATGAAAGCAGTTGCCTGTCTTCTAGTCCCAGCTCATCATCTCTCATTGGCTCTCAAGCCTCATTCCTTGAACAATGGCATTTTCACAATCCTCAAGACTCATTGCACAAGAAAACTACTGCAATGTACCCTGTTAGATAATAGCACCCCCTCATGAAAGGTACTGTAACTATATTATCTATACATGGGACCAATTATGAGCTCCACCGTGACTTACACAGGAAAATAGTATCCAAGGGGAGTCCTCATCTAGAATACGAACCCTTTATGATATAAGAAACTATATATATATAATATATATATAAATACACATATATGCACATACATAGATATAGGATTTTGATATGTATATATATATGTGTATATATGTATGTGTGTGTGTGTGTGTGTGTGTGTGTATGAATCTTCACGATCCATTAGTCATACATAGAGTTGAGGCTCAATAAATGTCCGATAATGATGATCTTAAGTGAGACACAGTCTGAACGAGCATTTTTTTAGCCAGGCTAAGTGCTTTACAAATATTAGTAGGTGTTTAATAAAGATTTGTTGAATGAATCTTGTGTCTCTCAGAATTCCTCTTTTGGGGCACAGCTCAAGTACCACCTTCTAAGGAGGCCTATCCATATCTCCTCAGCTCCTAATGCCTTCTCCCCAGATCATTTTGTCTTCATTTTATGTAAACCTCTATACATACATGGTGTTTCCTCCGACCGTAGATTCCAAGCTGCTTGAGGGCAACTGATGCTTTCCCTTTTGTTCATGTATCCCCAGGGCTTGGCATATTGTAGTCATTTAGTAAAAATTCTTGTTGATTGATTGACTATAGCTTTTGCTTATTTGTGACTGAATTAAATTTTTTTTTAAGGTCTGCACCAAACTGTACCAAGAAGAAGAATTTTTGCCCTTGGATCCAACCCAAGAATTTATATTTCCACCTGAACTCATGGTATATTGTTTTTCTTGATTGATTTCTGCTTTCAAGCAGGGCCATCTCCCCTTCTCTGCAAAAACAGACTTTCCTCAACTGGTTCCTGCTGTCCCTTGCCTTGAGTGACTCTTCATTGGATCCACCCTGGGGGACCCACAAGGGCAAAAGAGGGAGATTTCTCTTCATTGTCCTTGCCCTTATTATTATGCCTTTTTCCCATTTCCTTTTTTTCTAGTGATATTCCTTCCCAGCTCACAATGTCCATTGCCATAAAGTACACTCAGAACATATTGAGTTATGAAGTAAATAGTTCCTTGATTCAAAAGAGCCTCAGGACACAAACTAAATACAGTTGAAATAAGTTGGAAAAAAATCCCACAATCTTGCATTACTAAATTAGCTTGGCACAGGTTGAAAGTATTCAACAGTCTCTTCCAGGTGTTTCTTGTTTTTTGTTCCCCTTCCAGCTGAGAGACCTCTAGCTTTCACTCTTTGGTCACTGACCTTTCTGATAGTTCAATCTACTGCTATGCCAAGATCATGGGTGGGGCACCTGTGGCCTTAAGGCCCTATGTGGCCTTAAGGCCGCATATTTCCCACCCTTGGCCTAGACCTAAGGTGAACTCTGTCCATCAGTCTTTAGACAATCATTATCCTTTCCTGTCTGGTCCCTAGGTCTACCTCATTCATTCTCACATCAAAATTGATATTCTAATAATCACCTTGTTCCATATGTTAGACTCTGCCCAAGAGAATCCTCCATTTTGGTCTTTTCCTGGATAGTCAGACTTTTATTCTTATTCCAGTTCTGAGTCTCCCATCTCAATTAATACAATTTTCTCTAATTCTCTTTCTTCTTCCCTTTACAGTTCTTGCTTTTCTAATTGCCTCAGGTCTTCCACTCTCTTTTTCCTCCTCTTAGGTACATGCTCTTCTTTGTCTTGTTTCCTTTCCCTCCCACTTTATTTTCTAATTTCTTGGAAAGTATCCTGTTTCTTTACAGCTTCATGTCTCATTTTAACCTATTCCCCAAGCGCATCAATTATCATTTTACCTCAGTGGTTCTGAATTTCCTATCCACATCCTGTATCACCATGTTTACTTTTCTCTTCTCTTCCCCTTTCTCCCACTCCTCCAACCAGGAAAAATGCTAGCTCACAGTTAGCCATATTAAAGAACCATTCCTGCTCTATATACACCAATTTATCATGGGATAATTTAAGAGCTGGAAGAAACCCTAATAACCATCTAACTTCCCCTTCTTATTTTACAAATGGGGAAACTGAGGTCCAGGAGGTTAAGTGCCCAAGGTCACAGAGCTAGCATTAGAGCTATTATTTGAACCCCAGATCTTTTGACTTCAAAACCGGTGTGCTTTCCACTACCCCTCTAAGCCATTAAAATTAAATATAAGAAAGCCTTGTCTTTCTAATGCTTTCCACATAAGAGGACCAGGTAGAATATTGCAACATAAGATATGTCTGAAGGAGTACCATCAAATTTAGTTTTAAGTGATTGAGTTTGGTCTCAGAGGATCAATGTGTGGGAATTGCAAAGAGTTATAAAAAAGCATCTAGGCTTGAAATAAAGAAAACTTTTCTAGCAGTTGATTGTGGTTTCCTCCTTCCTCGAAGTCTTCAAGAAAAGCCTGGATGATCACTTTTTGGGTTCTTGTTCAGCTGTGGATGAGGCCTCTGAGCTCTCTTCTAACTCTGATTCCATGCATTTTCTCTAAGAAATGTTTCCTAAATTGATCTTTAAGAAGCAGTGTATTTAGAAACAGGAAACCTCAATTTCAGTCCTGTCATTTCACAGGGTTTTTCAAAAGTCTTAAGCTATTAAAGCTTCAAACTACTCTTCTGGGACCCCCTAGATGTGTGGTATTGGGTGGATCCCTTCACCATTCTGATCCTCAGTATCTTCATCTATAAAATAAGGTGTTGGAATGAGATTATCTCCAAGGTCCACATCATTTCTTATAATTCGAGATTTGGAAGGGATCTTTGTGGTTATCTAATCCATGCCGTAACCAAAAAAGAATCCCCACAACAACATAATTGAAAAGTGGTCCTTGAACCTTATTTTTTTGCACTTAATAGTATTTAGATAATTAGACAATTTTCAACACTCATTTGTGTAAGATTTTGATTACCAAATTTTTCTCCCTCATCCCTTCTTTACACCTTCTACTCGTTGTTCCTAGTTCTGCCCTCTGGGCCCACAGCTAGCAAGTCTGACCCCTCTTCACATAACCAAAAGATTTTAGAGTTAGAAGGGACCTCAGAGACTGTCCAGTACAACCCCCAAACAGAATCCCCATTCCGACCTATCTGAAAAGTGATCATCCAAACTCTGCTTGATGATGAGGGAAAACCTGTTAGCTCTCAAGGCAGTACTCATGGTAACTCTTCAGATCCTTGAGGACAGCTGTCATGTCTTCCTGAAGGCATGTAGGTGCCACATCGGTGGAGTTCTGGATTTGGATTCAGGTAGACTCGAGCTCAAAACCTCCCTCAGACACAATGTTGTGTGATCCTGGACAGGTCATTTAATTAAAGCCTCAGTTTTCTCAACTGTAAAATGGGGATGACAGTAGCACCTACCCCAAAGGGTTGTTGGCCATCTAGGTGGTGCAGTAGATAAAGGGCTGCAGTCAGAAAGACTCATCTTCCTGAGTACAAATCTGGCCTCAGACACTTATTATGTGATCCTGGGCAAATCACTTCACCCTGTTTGCCTCACTCATCTGTAAGGAGAAGGAAATGGCAAATCAACCCAATGTCTTTGCCAAGATAACCCCAAAATGGAGTCACAAAAAGTCTGAAATGACCAAACAACAACAAAGTAAAAGGTTGTGAGTATAGCATGTCAAGTGCTTTGCAAACCTGAAAGCACTATGCAAATGCTGTTATTGTTATTAATTTTTAATAGGCTAAACTTACACAGTTCCTTCAGCCCTAGTCCCTTTCAACATTCTGTGATTAACTGGCAAAATTTCTTTTCCACTTTTCTAGTGAGGTATAGAACTATTTAGTTTGAATTTTTGATAACACATTACCTTGTTTAAAAAAAGAGGGCTCCCTTTGGGGTTTAACATGAATAGAATCTAAGGAACCTTAGAGGTAATATAATATAGCTAGCCTTTTTGCAGATGAGGAAACTGAGGCTTAGAGAGATTAAATGTCTTGTCCAGAAGTTATAAATCTAGTTAATAATAGAAACAAAATTAGAAAACCTGAATCTTCTCTGACTCCTGGGTAAGTGCTGCATCCTCTACAGCCATTTATGTGAAAGGAAAACACAAATACTAGACACAGTGCCAACTTGGAACTTAAAAATCAAGCATGTGTCCTCCACACATGACTAAGGGCTTGTTTACACTTCTACTGTTATTTGTAACCTAGGCAATAATTAATTTGTAAGTTGGAAATTTGGCCTGAAATATCTCATGCTGAGATAATGTTTTATTCGTCTGTTTTCAAATACAACTTAATTAAAATTTTCCTTGGTTTTTATATCATAATATGTGGAAAAGCATACAAAGCAGCAGGTTTAATTATAAATTGATTACATTACATCAATTTTCTTAACTTCATATATTCCAGAGTATATTCTTTTTATTTTTATTTTGTTTGTGAGCCTGCAAATGTTTCCCTTTCATCATTTTAATAGTATTGATGGGCATTATTGACTTTGTTTCCCTGTAGAGAATGGCAGAAGAGGCAAGAAAGAAGACACTAGTGTTCCAGGGGGAGAGGATTACCTGGATTTCCCCTGCAACCCTGAATGACCTTTTGGAGCTCAAATTGCAATATCCCCAAGCTCCTCTTGTCATGGGCAACACCTTCGTGGGTGAGTAGTTGAATTGTGTCTCTTGTATTAAAGAACACAATTTGGCCCTGAGTTTCTGCCTTTATAAGACAAATAAAAACTAGCAGAAAGAGAGTGCATGTCAGCAAACCCATTCCAAAGTAAAAATGTATTCCTAGTAACTTATCATTACTGGCCTGCCACAATAATAACGCATAGCATGCTAAATATTTAATATTTGTTGTTCTAAAAGAAGGAGATAGGGCCTATAGATCTAGCCCTAGAATGTTTCCATTTTCTACATTTAGCATTCTTGTACTTCTGAACATTTTAGACAATGAAAAAAACCTGTGAGTTCCATGAGAGCAGAAATTGTGTTTTATTTATCTTTGTCTCTTCCTTAGCACCTAGAATAGGGCCTTGAACAAGTAGGCAAGCAATAAATGTTTATTTAATAAATGTTTATACCTAATGCAAAGAATAGGGAACCTCAGAAACTTTTCGCTTATTGTTATTTTATTTAGCTTTGTACGGTTGCTCTGTGACTTTTCTTTTCTAAGCCATGATGTCATTTCTAGAAAGATAGTAACTTTGCCATCCTTTTCTTTTTAATTTCTTTTTTTTTGAGGTAATCAGGGTTATGTGACTTACCCAGGGTCACATAGCTACTTAAGTGTCAAGTGTCTGAGGCTGGATTTGAACTTAGGTTTTTACGGACTCTAGGGCCGTTGCTTTATCCACTGCACCACCTAGTTGCTCCTTGCCTACTTTTTATTATCAGCAATAATATTATTTTTTAGGACCCAACATGAAATTCAAAGATGTCTTTCACTCAGTTATCATCTCTCCCGCTAGAATTTCGGAACTGAATGTTGTGATGATTGATGCAAACCAAGGTATGTTACCACTTACTGCCTTATTTATGTCGGTGATCGTGCTAAGAAAATTAGTGTTTATTTGAACATATCATGGAACACCAACAAGAGTCATCTTGGCCATCCTGCTCTCTTGAGACAGAACTGTGTCTAAAGCTTCCCAGGCAGGAAAAAATTTTTCTATTTTCAAGAACTTCCAAGGAAGGGGGTACAATCTGACTTCAGACACAGTTCGATGCCCATATCTAATGAATGCTCAATAGAACTTCAGTCAGCTAGAAACTTTTTCTAACCATCTTCATCATCAGGAAAATCTTTGTGTCTACCTATTCTCCTTGTGCTATAGGTAAATGCTTTTTCTTCTGTTTTCAGTAAAGATGAGAGGAGTAGATCATCATCCTCTGGAAAACAACCCTTGCTATACAGCATATACTCAAACATTGCCATTATCTCTTCATCAGCTTTTCTTCTCCAGATTATGCATTTTTTTGTTTCAGTTATTTTCTCTAGTTACCTAATGTGCAACAAAATAAAAAATAGATTTTGTGAACTGCTTCCTAGTTCAGAATTCAATATGCTGGATTAGTATTATCCTATGATTGTATGAGAATTCTAACGCACTATTATTAAACTGAAAAAAAGTGGAGAAATTTTGTTTAGTATTTATTATTTTATTTCATTCATAGAGAAATCTTCATTCTTCAACTGCTGTTTCCACAATTACATATTTTCCTAGTAATCTAATCATAATGATTTACTATTGAAATAGAAATATTGAAAAGGATTGGAATTTTTTTGGGGAGAAGCAAAGGACAAGGGATCTTCCCCACCAGTTATAAAAACTCTTTTGCTAGTGCTACTGTACCTTGATTTTGAAGCCAGATGTAGACCTGCAATCAATGGGGAAATCATTACTCTCTATTTGGAGAAAACATTCAAATTGGTTAGCTATCATAAGGGCACAGCCTAAACTAGGTAACATAGACAACTCAAGGGACAACACAATAGGGTGGAAGAAGGGATGCTTTAAAATGTTTAAGTGATTATAAAATTCATATTTTAAATAAAAAAATCTGGCTCTACATGTCCTTTAGGCATTTATTTTGAGATAAACCAAGCTGCATTTTTTAAGAGCAATACTTGAAAGCTGCCACTGAACAGTAGCACAAAGTGAGTGAAATTTTAAAGCTACCTAGGGTACATAGATAATGATAATCATAATAATGACCATTTACATAGTGATTTAAGGTTTGCAAAGCACTTTGCATATATTATCCCATGCTTTCTCTGACTCTGGGTAAGGGTATTACTTAAGGGGCATCTTTAGTGTTTCTTATTCATTCATAGTTTAAAAATCATAAATAGGCCAGTTGCAAACCTTGCTTTTCTACATCATATTTATGGTTATGCTGATTAGGGACAGCAGCCTCTTCTCCCTCTACACCCACATTACAGAAGCATCAATGACTATCCATGATGTAGATTCTGTACATGAATTCTGTGTCCTTGCCTTTGAGTTTTATTGTTATTGTCCAGGAAAATTGATGAGTAGTTTAAGTTGCACAAAGACACAAGTTCTCTAAACTCACATTTGATTTTCTTTTGGAGTCCCATTTGGATAACCTCATGGTAAATATCCTTTGAAGTCAAAATAAATATCTGTTTTATAAGATCCAAAGATCCTTTCTTAACCAGTTGCAAATATCAAAGTTCATTGGGTATTCTTTTTTAGTCGCTTAATGCTGTCCAACTTCCCAAACTTAAGGAATGTGCTCCCTCTGCTGGAAGACTTTGTCAGTTTTATGATCTTAGAATGAATAATGATTGGAGACTCAATCCCAACCAAAGAAGGCAGTAGGATGCCTAATTCCATTTTCTTTGGAAACCTGAGTAAAATGGTCATTATTGTTAAATGGATAATAAAAATGTACAAAAAAGTTCTATATAGAGATGATAACAGTAAAACCTTTGAGTACCAACATAAAGCAGCAGTGTAGTATAGGGCTTATTTGTCTGGGTCTCAGTTTCCCCATCTGTCAAATGAGAGAGTTGAACGAGATGACCTAAGGTCCCTTCTAGGTTTAGGAATCTGTGAATTCCAGGAACTTGCTAGAACTTCCAGGAAGCAGAAGCTCATAAATAAAATATTTTAGAATGATCCTAGTGCCCAGAAATGTGGTAGTCACTGTGCTTGATATAAAAGAATATGACATGCTTCATGCAAGGGCACAATTCAATTCAGGTTAATAAGAACCTTTAGGGTACCTACTATGTGCCAGGCGCTGTGCTAGATGCTGGGGTTAAAAAGACAAAACAAAGCCATCACTTACTTTAAAGACCCTATGCCCTATTTAAGGGGAAGTAAAGTATGCATGTAAATAAATAAAAATTATATACAGTGTAAATACAAAGTAATTTTGGGAAAGGGCAATAGGGAGTGCATTAAGACCTTGGGGAATCAGGAAAGGCCTGCTGTAGGAGATGATGCCTGAATTCAAAACTATACTTAATTTTCTTACTTGGGGCACAGAAGATAGGCAACCACTTCACAAGGATGGGGGAAGACAGAGTCTAGAATAGTCAAGAAACAACTTCTGGGAAGGCTGATAGGGCTGGTGCTAATGGGGAGTGGAGAAAGAGGTAAGTATCCACCCCAGGAAACCAAAGGGCCTTAGTTCCATTGGCTTTCTTTAAAGCAGAGATTCTTAAATAATTTTGAGTCAGAGAGCTCTTTGGCAGGCTGGTGAAACTGATGGATCCCTTCTTAGAATAATGCTGATTGTCTCATTAACGATTGAAGGAAATGTTAAAATTGAAGGAAATGTTAAATTAGAAGTGAGTGAAAGTAAAGATACATTTTCCCCCTCCAAGTTCATAGAATCCCTGAAATCTACCTATTGGCCCCCCTAGAAGGTATCTATTGTGCCCATGTTAAGAACCTCTGCTCTAAAGTCAGCACCCTTGCAAAAAGCAGTAGTCTCTCTTTCCTAGTTATAGCTCTGTCTAAGCTCTAAATCTTGTGTCAAATCTCTGTGCTTCATCTTATTTGAATGGTTTTTTCATGGCTGCTTACAATAATTTCTCTTTGACCTGGGAGCTCTGGAATTTATATATAATATTCCTGGGAGTTTTCATTTGGGGGTCTATTTCAGGAGGTGATTGGCAGATTCTTTCAATTTCTATTTTATTCTCTGATTCTAAGATTTCAGGGCTGTTTTCCTGGATAATTTCTTGAAATATGATGTCTAGAATCATGACTTTCAGGTAATCCAGTAATTCTTAAATTATCTCTCCTGGATCAGTTTTCCAGATCAGTTGTTTTTCTAATGAGATATTTCACATTTTCTTCTTTTTTTTCATTCTTTTGGCTTTATTTTATTGTTTCTTGACTTTTCATGGAATAATTAGCTTCCATTTATCCCTTTCTAATTTTTAAGAAATTAAGGTTTTGTACCTCTTTTCCCATTTGACCAGTTCTGCTTTTTAAGAAGTTATTTTTTTGGGCCTCTTTTTCCATTTGGCTAATTCTGTTTTTAAGGTGTTATTTTCTTCAGCATTTTTGTGCCTCTTTTACCAAGCTGTTGTCTTCTCATAATTTTTTCCCTTAGCTTTCATTTCTTTACCCAATTTTTCCTCTACCTCTTACTTGATTTTGAACATTATTTTTTAACTCTTCCAGGAATTCTTGTTGGGATTGTATCCAAATCAAATTTTTTTTTCTTTGAGGCTTTGCTTGTAGCTGTTTTGACTTCATTGTCTTCTGAGTATATGTCTTGATCTTTCCTGTCACCATAGTAACTTTTTATGGTAAGTTTCTTTTTTTGTTGTTTTTTTTTGTTTTGTTTTTCTACTCTATTTCTTGATTTGGAACTTTATGGTAATGCTGGTCTGTATTCCTAGCATGGAAGGGACAGGGAGCAGGGGCTCTGTCTCAAGATCCAGACTTTCTCACACTGTTGTTTTCAGAGCCACTTCTGGGGTTTTGGAAGCTTTTGGTGCTTCCAAGGTGGTATGACCTGGGAAGAGGTGTGGTCACTGCTTTCTTCATTTGCACTCTAGTCCTTACACAGGAAAGGCCCTTGATCTCTTGGGATTGCAGTTGATACTGTTCCTCAGGGTATCTGATTCCTTGAGGTCAGAAATGATACTGCCCTAAGGGCTTCAACTCCCTTTTGACCAAAAGTGCTCCTCTCTGCCCTTGAACTGTAAGCCAGAAGTGGATATTGGCAATGGAATTGCCAAACAGAGCCTGGTCCTGCTTCCAGTACTAGCACAGGGCTACCCTGAAATCTCTTTCTGATCAGTTGCTAGGCCCCCTTAACTGTCTCTGGCTCGAGAGCTCCTGAAGCTTCTGCTGCTTTGGTCATCACCACCTAGTTCCACCACTGGTGTTTCATCCACAAGGGGTCCAGATCAGCCTCTTCCCCCATGTTATAGATCTCTCTTTCTGACCTCCTATGTTGTCTTGGGCTAGAAGAATATCTCACTTTGACCTTTTGCTGGCTTTGACATGCCAGAATTTGATTTGAGGTGCTATTTTAAAGTGTTTGGAAAAGAATGTTGGGAGAACTTGACTGAGTGACTCTCTATTCCACCATCTTGGCTCTGCCCCCAGAAGACCAAGGCATGGATTCTTAATCTTTTTTTTTCAATCATCAATAGGTATCTTTGGCAATATGCAAAAACTATGGATCTCTTCTCAGAATGCTTTTAAATGCATGAAATAAAATAAATAGGATAACAAAGAAAACAAATTATATTGAAATACACATCACAATATGTTAAAAAAAAAGTAAGTTGATAGACCTCAAGAAGCCCTATTTTAGGGATTGAATGAGATAACTGGGAAACATTTGCAAGTCTTAAAGTGCTTATAGTGTCAGCTATGTCTATCATTGCAGTGACTATTGTGGGATCATGCGTGTAAAGCACATTAACTATTAAATGCTATATAAACTATTACTATTTTCTTCTAAAACTGGATTTCACCACATAGGGCTATCAAATTAAAGTTAACACTGGATTTACTGGTGATATGGATAATATTGCATTTTTATTATTGCTCCTTCAAATGGGAAAATTAGGTACCAGCTTATAATGTAAATATGAAAGGGGGAAAATGGCAACATGAAGTGAAAGGTACAGCTGGCTGGTCTGTTTTGGTTATCTAATCAAAATCTGATGGGTCAAAGCCCTCTGTTACCTTTCCTTTGTCAATTCTGGTAACAAATAATCAGAGAGTCACAGAGGTTTTGCAACCACTGTTTACTCCAAAAATACCAAAGAACTCACACAGGTTAAAAGCAAAAAGCTTTCTTTATTCCATTGGGGGAGAGAAATTAGACATGTGTTGGGGCCTCCTCTAGTAGGAGACCCAAGGCAGTCAGGCTAAACTTTGATTTAAAAATGTGTAGCTAGATAAAGAATGAAACAGTATAGTATAGCAATAGTGGTGAGGCACAACAGCAATAGGGAGGCCAGGATGTCTAGTGACAAAAAGTAATGGACTACAGAACTAAGCAGGGCTTCATATCTGGGCCTGTTGGTGCTTTCCTCAGTTCAGGTACCATTCTGTGATTTAGTTGCAGCAAAGTTCTTCCAGAGCACAGAGGATTGTTGCTATGCCATGCTCAGGTCACAGCTTGCTTGTTGGACCTTAGTTCTGGAAAACAGGGTGTCTAAAAAGAGACAAGTGGTCTTGGATCCTGACACCCTCCTCCCCCATGTTACCACCATGCCCTGAGGCCTCCACGTGTAACTCTAGGATACACAATGTCCCCATATTGCATTTTATTAATCAAGGTAACTTGTTTTTAGGGTTGACTATAGGTGCTGGCTGCAGCCTGGCCCAGGTGAAAGAAATCCTGACTGAAATGGTTTTAAAGCTCCCAGAGGAGAAGACTCAAACTTACCAAGCACTCTTGAAACATTTGAGAACTCTGGCGGGACAGCAGATCAGGAACATGGCTGTAAGTATTCTAAGTATTCTGAGGGGGCAGAAAATAAATAATTTAACAAAAGAAGAGTGGATCACAAAATGGTTCCATTTATTTGTAGACTTATTCATTGGTGTTTTTCATGTGGACTGGAAGAGATTGTCCACCTAATTTTAGATCCACGTGTAGTCCCAGATTAAATTCCTCATAGCCAATCCTGTTCTTTGAAGTCTTTCTGAGTCAGAAATGAGTGGTATTCAAGAAAGATAGTCTAACTTCATGTTCATGCTTTCTATTTTATAGGTAAGGAAAGGGATGAGTTGATCCTTGTCTTGTTTTGGTCCTTTCTATGAACCATAAAGAAAATCTCTGATCTAAACCCACATTTCTGATTCTAATTTGACATTTAGGTTAAGAAATTAGAAATTAAGAAAAAAGAAATTGTAGTTCTTTGGGGAATAATGCTATTTCCCATTGATAGTTACTTCAGCTTTCAAGAAAATAGAATAATCACGTAAGCAACCAAAGTTCTAAAATAATCTCGTATGTTTAGTCCTTAGGAGGACACATTATAAGTCGGCTGGCAGCATCTGATCTCAATCCTGTCTTGGGTGTAGGCAATTGTGTACTCAACTTGGTATCAAAAGGTGAGAAACTAGGCTCCTCTGCAAATACTGGTATCTGTTATATAATGATATGTAACCCTGTGTCAGAAACTATTGTGTGACATAAAAGGCCAAGTATATTTTTGGGGTTTTTCTCAGTCCCATAGCTCATAGGTCCTGTGCAGGCAACCTGGGAAAATAGGATGCAAACTGCTTGAGGTACTATTTCACTTTTATACCTGGTAGGAGATGATAAGAAATCCTAATTGGAGGATTTTCAAAAACAAGTTTCAAGCAGTAGGAGACAATGGAGGAGGGAGGCCAAGAAATGCCTCTGGAAAAGGGGACATTTGAACTGAGTCTTGAAGGAAGCCAGGGAAGCTTGGAGTGGAGCCCTGCAAGTGGGCCAGTGTGGTTGTATCAGAGACTATGTGGAGGGCAGTCAAAGTAAGTGCAAGGTTATCTCTGCAGTGCACCAGAGTTCTCTCAATATTGCTCCCCTTCAGGAAATATGTTGGATGGCATAATCTCAGAAATATTTCAAAATGCTCTGGAGGCCAGGTCAAAAGGTATTGATTGATTACAGACTTTTTCAGGAAGTTCTACAGTGTCCTGGAACTCTACAAAACCAAAGCAATGTCATCTGTAAACAGGATCATTTGGAGTACCTCATCATCCACAAGAAATCCCTCCTCAACTTAGACTCTTCCCAAGATCTCCTCCATCAGAGATGCACAGTTTTGTTGAACAAATATCTCCCTTATTTATTCCTTCCCTCATGTTTATTAGCAGGAGGTCATGGAAGTGTTATTTCTGTTGTTACATATTACAAGGAATCTTAATGATTTTGATGTTTGTATATGAGACAATGTACTATAAAAGAACTGTTAAAATAGCATTTTTTTCCTACCAAGTCCAAAGTTATTTTTGCTGTTTGTCTTGTTTCGTTTTGTTTTGCAATTAACAAACAGTAAGCAAAATAGATCCTCATATCACTTTCATCTTTCTGTCAGTTATGAGGGTATAGATATGTTCCACGTTGAATGTTATGAAAGCTTGTTGGTTTACAAATGTCGTCATTGAGTATGCTCTCAATTCTAGCATATGTACCTCATACAGGTTTTGAATAGGTTGTAAAGTAGTCACATAGGACAGTAATTACTGATATTCTTTCTGTTACCATTTTTTGGTTGAAACAAGTGTTGGAACTTTTTCCCCACACCTTTGGTATCATTTACTCTAACGATTCAACTACATTACATATTGTTCTTCTCTGCCCTCACACTTGTATCACCTATGGCACAGATCTCCTCCCTATATATTTGATCTAATCCAGCTGCTTTTCCTATCTTTGTTTTCTTTTGTGCCATTTCTATTTCCTTTGTAAGCGTTCCAGAGAGTGTGTCAGAGTCCAAGTGCGTTTGTTTCACTTTGCTAAATGGAAAATAATTTTAAATAGGGTTTTTTGGCATATCTTTTCCATTTTCTTTCTAGTAGTAGGCCTCTTTGCATTTTCATTATTGAATACTCTTGTCATGACTTTGCTAAGTTGAATATCAAGCAATACTTGCATGGCTACATATTATAGTTATGATAAACTGTGTAAAATATGAATTTTTAATAATTTTGGTGCTTTTACTCTTTGGAGAGGCAAAATGAAAAAGTAGAGAGTAGACTCAGGCCTACTATCAAGATGGGCTAGGTCGAGTTCTGTTTGTAAAAATGGATATGTGGCCCTAGGCAAGTCACTTAACTTCTCTATGTCCTTAAGCTACTATCTAAATCAATAGGTTGCAGAATAGGTCCTTATCTGCATTAATATAAGGTGTTTCCTCACTCAAGGAACTCCCTAAAATGATATAATCATAAATTTAGATCAATAACAACAATCTCATCATCAGTTTTATAATTTTTAGTATATGTTTGATGCTTACAAAAATCAACATATAATTTGAGTACAATCTTTGGAACAGCAAATCACAGAGAAAATGAATTCCTTATAAAGATAAATGTTAAATGGCTTAGATCTGTAACCATAATGTATTCTGACCAAATCCCTGATCATTATTTTTTCTTAAAGTCACATGTACTCATTGCAAAACAGGATAAGAGAAGATGAAGTGGCTTATTTGGCAGAGTATCTATCTGTTAAGCCAATAAAATGCCATTAACTCTTTATACTTTCTGGACTCTCAGAAAGATGGAATGTGTTTATATAGAAAATTGGAAGGAAATCGTCCTTTTATGCTAACAACATTACACCTCTCATTATGTATCTCCTTAATCACCCTTAACTTTTCTTAAGCATACAAAGTCAAATGTGTCTTCATATGCTAAATGTTAAGGATTTACAAAAAAAAAAAGATAATAAAGAAAATCCCATAAAAATATCCCAGTTGGTTGACTGGAAGTGTATTAAGGAAGCATTAAGGAAGCAGCACACAGTATTATTGAGGAAAATTTTATTAGAAGAATAACAAAAGCCCTCAGGAATCTTCAAATGATCAGTTTAGGGAGGTGGAAGTTATCATTTTTCTCTCCTCCTACGAATCTTTATAACATGAACACCAAGTATCTTCTCTAATTTTTCAGGCTATGCTGGGACAAGTTTCCATAAAATTCTCCATTTAAAAAAAAAGTTAACTCCTTGATATGAAGATGAGGTCAGAACAAACAAACAAAACACCCCCATCACCCCACCATCCCTTTCCAGTACTCTCCTTGAAGGCCCTTCTGCATTCTTTGTTCTTTCTCAGTTGCCAGCCCTGTCATGATCATACACATTCCTTGGGGCAGATACTTTATTTTTTCCAGGTACACAAATAGGAAAAGGCAAAGGAAAGGGCAAATACCCCAGCACTTGCTCCAGCATTTAAGGATGAGGAACAGTCCCCACTTAAGCCAGTAATTGAATAGACAAAATGTTATTCTTATCTAAACCTGTAATTGCCAGCAAGATAAAGATTCATTAAGTTTTTGTACGGGCTAGTCAAGTAAACTTATTTAAAACGGGCCCTTCATTGTTCAAAGAAAGGGTATGTGGATTTTTCCTCTTCCCAAATACTTTTGAAATCATATAATAATCATAATCATGAGAATATGCACATTATTATTGCACACAACAATATTTTACCACTTACAAAAGGTTTTCACATACATTATTCAATTCTCACAAGCAATAATAGCTAAAATTTATATTACACTTAAAAATTTATGAAGCACTTTACATATGTTATATTGATTTCACAACAGCTCTGAGGTACATACTATTATTCCCCATTTTACAAATAAGAAAAGGGACTGAGAAAAGGTTAGTAACTTGTCCAGGGTCATACAGCTAGTAGGTATCTGTGGCAGGACTATGCCACCCAGCTGCATCTCAAGTAGGGCAGATATTGTCTTGCTTTATAGATGATGAAATTGAGGCTCAGCTGGCTTGGGTAGCTTGTCCATATTTTTAGAGAAACAATGGAGAAACAGCCTTGTGAGGTTACTATAGATTATACAGCTGTTGGTTATTCAATTTATGGACTAGCTGGTTTCCTTTGCTATTTTTGGAGGCTACCTTTGGCTTGTTCATGGCTTGTTCCTGATTTCCACTAGAAGGCAGGGAAGTACAGAAAATGATTTTTTTTTTTTTGGAAACAAACCAAGATGATTTCTTCCAGGCTTTGATTAGAGTGTAGTACTGAAGACATATGTTTAATGACTATCAAAGTGGGTAAGGCTTCCACACTGACAGTTAGCCTATTGGTGTAAGTGAACAAAGGAGACGTGCTCTGTTTTATAGTCATAGACTTATTTATCCTTAGCCCCTGCAAAAGATATGCCATTGGTCAAAATGTGGATCCAGCTTGAGAATAGATGGATCAGCATGAGAGATCAGTTACCCTGAGGAAAATAGGCCAAAACTTGAAGCCTACTGAAAGGGGGCTAGCAGGACCATTGTCAGAGAAAGAAAGGACAGAAGTATCATCGAAGTAAAGCCTGTGGTTAAAGTAAAGCTCCTATGCCATCCTCAAGGTATTGCTTTAATATAAAGAGATTCCTTGATTCTCAAACAGACCAAAATTTTATCCTTCATTCTGTGCAACCAGGAAAGCCTATGGCAGTTGGTCAGATCATTTTGAGACTGCCTTTTCTGGAAGTTCCTTCTAGTCAGGTACTATGTTGTATTTCTTGTAGTATTTCTTCTTTTGAAATATATATACTTCTTCAGTAGGATTTCTTGACTATGAAATAGTATTCTCCAACTTGAATACCCATTTTATTCATCAGCTGTTCCTCTGAATGATTTTTTGGCAGTTTCTAAAAATAAAATCCATTGGCTGAGGACAAAGATTTGCCACCGCTACAGGTATTCAAAAGAATGCACTGTGGGTTTTGAATTAAAATAGGAGTTCCAGAACTACTTTGTATCTTTGGAATAAGAGTATAGTAAAAATGACTACTTTGAAGGGGATAACATGAATGTATGTGTTTTATACCATTAGTCCCACTTCTTAGAAAGGATATAGTAAAAAGAGAACATTGGACTATAAATAAGAGAACTGAGTTCAAATCCTCACACTACCACTTGCTAGTTGTATGATTTTGAGCAAGCCACAACCTCTTTTGCCATGTATAATAATATATTTTATCTCCCAAGAATAACATGTTATACCTCTCAAGATCCTTATGAAGGTCAAGGAGATAATGCATATAAAGTGCTTTGTAGTCTTAAATGGCAATATAAATATCATTGCTTATTATTTATATGATTTATACCTCCTTTTACTTATTATAGTTCTTTTCTCTTCTGCCAGAATGGATAATTAAGCACCAATTATATATTTACCATGACAGCTAGTTGGCATGGCAGATAGAGTGCCAGACTTGGAATCAGGAAGACTGTCATTTTGAAAGCTGTGAATAAGTTCACTTATCCTGGGATACTTTCCAAGAATGTTCACATGCATGATGAGTTTGATGCACACATTGCCAGAGGTATCTCAGTGTTTGGAAGTCTCTAAAGAAAAATGTGGGAAAGAAGAGGTATTAGAGTGCCTACCAAACTCAAAGTCTATAGAGCTGTTGTGTTGTTCTCACTGTTGTAGGCCTGTGAAACCTGGAAAGTCTACCAGGTCAATGCCAGGAAACTGAATCACTTCCATTTGAATTATCTTAGAAAAATTCTGAATATCACCTGGAAAGATAAAGTACTGGACATTTGAGGTCCTTTCTCCAAGCTAAATTGCCAAGTATTCAAACTTTACTTCAGAGAGTGTAACTCTGATGGGCTAGTCACGTTGTTTAAATGCCAAATGTATGTTTGCCTAAAAGACTATTTTATGGAGAACTCACACAAAGCAAACTCTCACATGGAGATCAGAAGAAGCAATACAAGGACACTCTCAAGGTTTCTCTGAAGAACTTTGGAATTGATTGTCACACAAGGGAGACACTGGCACAGGACTACCTGGCATGGTGTGCCCACATCAAAGAAGCTGCTATGCTCTAGAAGCAAAGCAGAATTGCAATAGCTGGAAAAAAAAAAGCAACGTGAGATGTGCAAATTTAAAGACATCTGTACTCCAAATGTTCATATGGACTATTTGTACTCAAGCTGTGGTAGAGCCTTTTGAGTTCATATTAGTCTGATCAGCCAGTCAGACACACTGTACCTTGACCCTGACAAAATGATGTCATTTTGGTCTTCTTCAACCATGAAGTACAATAACCAATCAACCAATCTACCAGAAAAGATAATTAAGCACCAACTATATAGCTACCTGGACAGCTAGTTGGCAAAGGGGATAGAGTGCCAGGCCTAGAGTAAAGAAGACTCAGCTCTTACCATTTATATGATTCACAACTCCTTTTACTTATTAGAGTTTTAGATACTATCACCTTCCTCTCCTAACAAAATGGATAATTAACCACCAACTATCTATCTACCTGGAAAGCTGGTTGGCATAGTAGGTAAAGCGCTGGGTCTGGAATCAGGAAGACTCATCATTCTTGAGTTAAAAACTGGCTTCAGATACTTACTAGCTCTGTGACCTCGGGCAAGTCACTTAACCCTATTTGCCTCAGTTTCCTCATCAATTAAATGAGCTGGAGAAGGACATGGCAAACCACTCCAGTATCTTTGTCAAGAAAACCCCAAATGGGTCCACAAAGAGTCGGCCACAACTGAAAAATGGTTGAACAACAACTTGAAGCCCCTGTTTTTATTAGAAAGAATAGACAAATTCCTTTTAAATGCAGCCTTATTTATATGGTCCCTATATTCCAAAATTTCTCATTCATCCAGAACAATTATTGTACAAAGGTTCATGGACCTTTTCTGCCCCTCTTATATGAACTAGAGAAGTCCTACTGTTGGCATACATAAAATATACATGCCTTTTCAGGGGAAGAGTCCTAGGGGATGTTTTCAAATTTGAGTATACCCACTTTATATTTAGAGTGCCATTTATTGACATTTCCCAACTTTTCTTTTTATTTCAAATTCATTTTCCTTTATAGGATTTATACTATTTTGTGTTATAAGAATGTATCTTTTTATTTTGGTGAAAATTTTATATGAAATTTTTTTTTGCTTAACAGAAGGAACACAACAACTTCCTTTAAATGATCATTTTCTTGCTGGGTCACCAGATGCAAACCTTACATCAAAACAGGTTTTAGCCTCTGTTTTTATTCCTTTCTCTAAAAAGGTAAGAGATCATGATGATTCTCTGTTTTGTTTTTAGCAAAGTTCTTGCTTTTAGTTCTGTACAACACTAGGCACAATGGAGTAGGGAAGGTATGTTGAGTTAATACTAAATTTATAGCAAAAAAAACCCCATAGATAATATATATTTTGTATACACAAATATGAACAATAACATTAGTGCAAATATGAATAATCACATATTAATGATAAATTAGATTTGATCCTTATTTAGAAAAGTTCATAACTTTTGCTGTCTTTAAATTTCATTAGCTCTAAAGAGATCATGATACTTGGGATCATAGAATTTTAGAACTTGAACTGGAGGGGACCTTAGGAGCCATCAAGTCAATCTTTGTTTATTTGCAGATGAGAAAACAGGCTCAGAGAGGCTAGATAGAGCATATACTCATGATTATTTGGCTGGTTAGCAAAAGAACCTAGACTTGAACCAATACCACTATGGAGAAAATATTAAGGATATGAAATGATTTTAATTTTTTTCCATCTTGGTCATAATTTTTAAATAAACAAGAATGTCAATAAGGTGGTCAAGAAAACAACTAAATTCCAAATAATGCTAAGTAAATTGTTAGTATGTGAAGGTCTTATTTCATTATTGATTAATAAGATTTGAACAACAACAAACCTATCCAAGTGTTTTTTAACCTGTCAACGAGGCAACAAACTTTATGCCTCGAGGGGGATCTTAAACAAATATTGATATCTGTATTGGCCTAGCTGTAGTTCAGCCTCGGGGCACAGTGGTTTGAACTCAAATTCCATTCCAACTTCAGACACTACTTAGCTGTGTGACATTGGACAAATCATTTAACCTTGGTCTGTCTTAGTTTCCTTATCTGTAAAATGGGGACAATACTAGCAACTGCTTCCCAGAATGGTCGTGAGGATCAAATGAGATAATATTGGTAAAGCACTTTGCAAACCTTAAAGTGCTATATAAAGATAAATAAGATGCAAGCTATCATTAATGTTAACAACAAATACAGAGGGACTGTTATTAGAAAACTAGGAATTGCTGATTCTCTTTTCTTAAGACTATAGAATTAGATCTCAGACAAGATCCTAGAGATACTTTAGTACAGCTGCCTCTTTTTACAGATGAGGAAACTGAGGACCACAGTGGTTAAAGGATGTGGCCAATGTTACACAGATAGTAATAGGCAGACCTAGGGTTCAAACTCAAGTTCTCTGACTTCTGCACTGGGCTATGAATTCTCTTTTACTATAATATAATTATTTAGCATGGACTAGGTACAAAATATACACTAGATACAGTAGAAAAATAACTGGATGGAGCAGCTAGGTGGTGCAGTGGATAGAGCACCGGACCTGAAGTGAGGAGGACCTGAGTTCAAATCTGGCCTCAGACCAAACATTTGACACTTACCAGCTGTGTGACCCTGGGCAAGTCACAACCCCAATTGCCAAAAAAAAAAAAAATCACAGGATCATAGAATTTTTAAGCTGGAAGGAACCTTAGAAATTTGTCTGACCCGCTCATTTAAAGATAAAACTAAATTCTAGGGAAGTGAAGTGACTTATCTGGGGTTACACAAATAATAAGTATTAGAGACAGAATTCAAACCTAAGTCTTCCTCCTCCAAGTTCTGTAGCTGCTTAAACTCAGTCAAGTGGTCAAAATACAGACAGAGAAAGGCTGTAAATAAAGGCAGGTTGTTCAGGAATTGTCAGTTACGTCTGACATTCCATGACCCCATTTTGGGTTTTCTTGGCAAAGATAGTGGAGCAGTTTGCCATTTCCTTCTCCAGCTCATTTGACAGATGAGAAAATTGAGGCAAACAGGTTAAGTGACTTGCCTAGGGTCACACAGCTAGTACGTGTTTGAGGCCAGTTTTGAACTCAGGAAGTTGAGTCTTCCTGACTCCAGTCTTGGTATTCTATCCACTATGCGACCTGCATCTTCCCCAAACTGTGTTTAAATAAGTGTTAGCCCTATGCAGAAGTCAGTATGGGTGGTCTGTCTTTTGGGGTAAAATTGCATACAAGTGTTACATGATAAGAGGTCTTGATTACTGAAGAATGGGAAACTACTCTACACTTAAAGGATTGCATGGGGCTAGGGGTTGAAGAAGAGGATTAACTTGGTTCTATGATACTTTATTGGAAAGAATGGAGTGGGTTAATGTTGTAGAAGGAGAACAGAGAAGAACTGCATTCATGTTGTTGTTTTTCCAGTGGGAATTTGTGTCAGCTTTCCGACAGGCACAGCGTCAGCAGAATGCCTTAGCAATTGTGAATTCTGGAATGAGAGTCCGTTTTAAGGAAGGCACAAATACCATTATGGACTTAAACATTTTATATGGAGGAGTCGGTTCTGTTACTGTTAGTGCAAAGAAATCATGTCAGCAACTCATAGGAAGGTACTGTATATATTCAACCAGTTTTTAATGAGTATTGTGCTATATGCTATAGAGAATATAAGGATGAAGGGAGATGACATTTACAAATTGTTACAGTACTAACTAGAACATCTTAAGGGCATTAGAGAAGTATGAACGAAGTACTATGAGAATTCAGAGAAAGTTCTGGCTGCAGGGATCTGGGAAGGCTTCATGGAGCACACCATTTCAGCATTGGATGGAGTCAGGTAGTGAGTAGTAGGTTAAGCAGTTTACATTTTATTTGTTAGGCCTGAGGAGTCATTGAAGGTTTTTGAGCAAAAGGCTCACATGACTAAGAGCTGCTCATTAAAAAGAGCAATCTGGCAAAAGAGTGTATGTTGGTTAGATTTGGAGGGGAGAGAGAGCTTAATTAGCATTCAAGCTCCCTTCATGTTACCAGTAAGTGAGAGTGCCGTTGGCTATTATCTCTTGTATAATTAATGTCACATCTGCATTAGAATGAAGGTATATTATATGGAAGTACCTACAAAATTGGCCTAAGAATAAAATACTTATTTTTTTAATCAAGCATCTGTGATTTCCCTGATGTGAGTAACTATTTAAGCTGTTTGTATCACTTCCCCTTTTTAGGAGATAAGATTCAGAAGCTGTGGTGGCTTTCCAAAATTATTATCTAATATTCAATCTTTCAGTCATAAGCCTATCTAAAGCTTCTGAAACTGTTCCTTGTGCCAGGTCATAATCAAAAACTTTATATTGTGTTTGAACCTGTGGAGTTCATACTTACTGATATGGTCTTCAAAAGCGCAAGGGAAGTTCCATGTCACGATGAAGCATTAGATTAGGATTGAAGTTGAGCAGAAACAAAATAGTATGAATACAATTCATACATGTGATAGCCTGGCCATGTTACTGCAGTGTTAGGGATGGTGGAGTGCTTTCAATGATCCTAAGCTACTCCCTGACATGAGCTCATCTTTTTAACATCAATATTCTTCTGATGGTGTAATATGACTGCAATTCATGGAACACTATGATCTGAAGAGTAAAACTTACAGTTGATACAAATGGCAATGAAAAAATGCATGGTGGGATTATATAGGCTACAATCACCAATCATGATGTATATAAGAAGTTGTATGAAAGAAAATGATCTGTGAAAATGTATGATTAGAAAAGGATATGGGCTGGTCACATAACAAAATAAAGGGGCAAGAGATGCCTGCATTGGTACCCACAAAATATTAAAGACCTCCGGTATATTGGGTAGAACTTCTATAGAGACTTAGGACATGGACAAGAGCATAGGACACAGAAGTATGGATGGATTATAGCTCATACTGTTAGAGTGAGGAACCACATCAATAAGATCATAGATACGTTTAAGTTCATTGTAGAAGAATATGTTCCTATATTATTATATTAATATATGAAGACTTTATTAACATTCATTTAAGTAACAAAAAAAGTTTAAATACATTTTCTTTTCTGACAAATACTTTATGTGCACTTTACTGGACTAAATTAGTATATTTTTTCATCTAGGGCCTGGAATGAGGAGATGCTAGATGAAGCCTGCAGGTTAGTCCTAGATGAAGTGACTATCCCAGGCTCATCTTCTGGTGGAATGGTAGAATACAAAAGAACTCTCATGATCAGTTTCCTCTTCAAATTCTACTTGGAAGTGTTGCAGGACTTAAATGTTAGGGTAATGTGTTTCTAACTTATGTGTCTACCATTAATTTTTGCATGACTAAGAAAGGGGTTTGATTACTGTGATCAAAATATTTTTTTTTCAGCCAAAGACAGGGCTTATTAAAGATCTGCCATACTGGCCAGACTGTTAAGGAATGTAAGTGCTTGTATCACTAATACAAGTGCACCTTAATGGAGACAAGATGAATCTTATATATAAAAAGACTGTGGGAGGGGTCCAGGAGTGGTTAAGTAGTCTGGGGTGACTGGAGGGGGCGTCCTAAGGAAGATCTGGATGGGAATGGCCAGTAAGCTGGGGTGAACAGAACTCCAGGGACCTGGACCCCTGGTCAAGGGAGAATGCAGTCTAGATAGGATTAAGGGTGGTAAGTGGCCAGGGGGCAATCTGGAGGTAACACAACAGAATTGGGAGATAAGGAGTAGCCACAATGAAAGGCTAGTTGAGTGGCTTACAGCCTCAGGCCAATGCCAGAGATTTGGGAAGGTCCACGGATTTTCTTTTTTGGGGGTCCAGATCCCAAGGACATGGTCTTTTCCTTTAGAGGTTCGATCCCATCCCCGTCATTCCCCCCTCAGACAACTGAAGTCCAAATTCTTTTGGGATAAGGGACGGAGGTCTTGGCTTCTGAAACTGCTTCCTGATGGCAAGGGGCATAGAGCTGTCCCTGCCTTGAGAGGGTCCCAAAGAGGAGGTTGACTGGAACTGAGCACAGGCTGCATCTGAGGGACAATGGGGTAACATTGGCTGGTACCCGCTGTTTGCTATCAGTTGTAGGTGAATGGCCTGTAGTCTGGAAGATGCAAATCTGACAGAAAAGACTGCAAAGCCCAGATATAGGGAGAAGTAAAAGTGTAAGAGTCCCATTAAAATCATTTGCATTTGATCTGCAGGACTATCTGATCTTGTTACTTTTTCAAAAATTTAAGTAATACTTTTGAAAGTAGAAGTTTTCCACCCCTGATTCAATAGTTACACAAATGAATTTGCCAGATACTTACTTTTACTTCAATTATCACTGAATTCTCCTCCCCAAACCAAACTGAAGATGTTTCTGATTTAATTTCAATTGTTTGAGGGTGTTGAATGACTACACATTCAGGGCAAAACAGCAATCTCTCACACACTTGCATTGATCTTTTACTGATCACTTGCTCTGCTTATAGAAATGTGCTATAAAAAGATCAAGCAGGGACTAGATTTCAGGATAAAACATCCTTAGCTCTGCTTGAATTCAGATAATTCACAGTTTTCCAACCATGCAGTATCAAATCCACCTCATAGCCAGACTCAGGAATAGCCAGGTGGGTAATATTCCTTTTCAAAGGAACATAATGGGGAAACTGAGCCAGGAGGATCCTATCTTAGACTGAGGCTAAAATTGTCCTCTCACCTTTTCCTAATGCTGACCTTCCACCAGTATCACATTCTCTCTGAGTAGCTTGTGGCATTACAGAGATGGTGGATTATTGATTATTGATGGATTACTATGATCCATAAGGCAACTCAAAATAAAATCCCACGAGTTTTTAGAGTTTTTACCTCAAACAGCAAGTTTCACTAATCACAGCTTAGGAAAAACTTTTCCAGGATTTAATCTCAAATTTAAATTGTCCTGGTGTAAAAAGCCAATCCTTAGAGATTTCTATACACTTGCAAATTCTCAGCAAGCCATACATAACCCAAACAAGCTTTTTGGTTAGTTTACACATTAAAACAATAACCAAAAGTAGCCAAATTATTTTAGTGGGAACCAAATTATGAAAAGTTCCTTGACATAACTATACAAAAAAGTTCACCAATTTGAAACTTGAAACAAGCCCATTATCAATCAGGTGACTTCAATTTTGTTGAATGCATTTCCAAATTACTTTACACAGAGAATCAACATCTCATCATTAACAGTGAAAACTACAAATTTAAAAGAGCTTGCTTACCCAAGTTCAGAGGCCAGCTTCTTTACCTTGAGCAGGATGTGCTGAACCTGGGTGATGTTTCCAGGCAAAGGTTGCCCCAGGGCCCAAGGCCATTGCCGGTGCGGCCCACGATGCACAGGGCAAATTGGGGTGGGGGGAGAGGGTGAAACCCTCTTCTGCCATGAGAGGGATTAACAGATACCCTCGACTCAAGGGAAGGAAGGAAGAGAGTGACCAGAGTTGTAAGATGTTTCAAAACTCCTTAATGATCAATCACAAAGCTTCTAGAATCTGCTAAGATG